CTCTGCCTCCCCAGTAGCTGGGACTACAGGCACCTGCCACAACACCTGGCTATTTTTTGGTTGCAGCCGTCATTGTTGTTTGGTAGGCCCAGGCTGGATTCGAACCCACCAGCTCAGGTGTATGTGGCTGGTGCCTTAGCCACTTGAGCCACAGGCGCCAAGCCTAAGCTGCTTTTCTTATTCTCTGTCTTTATTCAAGACAAACAGAAGCTAAAGTATTAAAGAGAATTTTTAGGGTGGTCTTTACCAACCTCAGACCTCTCAGATTCCTATGTTTAAGAGACTCAGTGAGTTGATGGGGGAGGTTTTCCAATACACTGGGTGGTTTAGGGTTGAGCTCTAATCATGACCAAAGGAATCCCTCCTGAACCAAAGAGTAAGAAAAGTAAAATCATTTTTTCACTTTCTTTTCTCAATTTTTTTAAAAAGGTAATATGTACATCTGTTAAAAAAGAGTGAGTAGTTGCAAAACAACGTGAATGTACTTAATGTCATTCACTGTATTGTACACACGAAAATGTTTGATGTTTTCCTGTATATTTCATGTTATGTATATTTAATTGCCATTTAAAAAAGGAAAGAGAGATGAGAGGGAGAGAGAATGAAATGGTATAAAGGTACTGAAACATCTAAGTGACTCTCACATCCCTCGAAGCCCACAAGTCCCCTCCTTAGAAATAATCACTCAATTTCTTGTGACTCACCTTTCTTTTTAATGCATTGCTATACAAGTCACTATTCGCATAGTAAATTGGGGCATTTATTTGAAATATTTTTATTCCAGGAATTTCTTTCACCTGAGGAGTAAAATATTAGTGAATTTAACACATGAAAATATATCAGAATTAAAGCTGCAAATTGCCTTCCTCTTTCAACTTAAAAATTAATGCAGAAGTTGCTAAGGAACCCTCTTTCAGGGTTTAGGGGAAATGATGCCACTCTATCTACTCAAGCTTCGGAAGGAAGAGTTCTGAGAGGAAAGCTTTTAAAAATGCACATCTTCCCATTTATTTAAAAAAGTCTGTCTTTGTTTTATTTTAACCATGAAAGGCAAAGAAGAAGGAACAGAAAAATATTCAAAAGGACAAAAAAAGACAGATAGGAGAGGGAAGGCTGCTGCCAGGACTGTGAGGAGCAGGCAAACAGAGGTGGACAGCGGTTTGCAGGAAGGACTCAAAATGGACACGGGGGGAACAGAGTGAGTATGTCATTGAGAAGCCACGTGGAACACTAGGATGCAGTTTGGAAATGAGGAATCCAGCATATGGAGGGAAAAATAGCAAGTCTGACACCTCTACCTTAAAATACCTTATTGCGAGGCTGAGAATTTCTTCCCGAGAACAGCAAAACAGATGAGTTTCAAAAGATTTGCAAAGTCTTTGAAATTCCAAAGATGAAAAGAACTTTCAGAATCAAGGAAGTTCTAAGACATGATTTTAACCATTAAACGAAATGGGAGACTTTCACAGTCCCACCATCTATATTTTATTAAAATTAGTATATTAATAAATTATAAACAATTTTATTTAAAATTAGTATTTTACCATAAACACATCAGAAGAAAACCATGCACATATAAACCATCCTCTCAGTTCCAGTATTTTCCAAGCAAATACTTTAATTCCAATAATATATATTTATCCCTATTAAAAATGAAGAGAAATATATATTAGGAAATTGAGTATTTACTGCATAGTAAAAACTAAATCCAGACGTAAATTGGAGCTCAGACTTCTCACTTAGAACACTATACCTCCCTCCCTTCAACCCTACTTTTTGTCCTAGGCAAAAACAGCACTTAGCAATCAAATCACATGCTCACAACCTTTTCAAATGATGAAAGGAGAAGGTCCTACCTCCTCATATGTGTCTATATCAATATACACGTCAGTGTCCGGAAGCTGTCCAAGGACTTTGTAGCTCGGACTGGAGACAGAAAGTATGTTAAATACCATTGTGCTGAGGTGCCGTATGGGATTTAAAAATAAGGTTTTGTATATTTACATGTCATGTAAGGATTTGCTGGTGAATTCAGGAATACTTCATCCTTATAGGGGGTCTTTGCACAAGGGCTTCACATACGTCACATTCCACGTGCTAGTCTAAGCCTGACACCCGCGCCTCATACCACACACAGGTACCACACAGAGGCTCGTACACCACACACATACACAGTACACACATCACACACACCACACAATACACCCCCCACAATGCACATACCACACACAGGTACCACACACATGCTCATACACCATACACATACACAATATACACATAACACCTCCTCATGCCAAACCAGACATACCCACATACTCCACATACCACACACAAAACATCCCCTCACAACACACACACATGCATATATACAAAACATGCACACCATATACCCCACAATTCACACATGCATATACCCCACACAGACCACACATACTCACACACTCCACATACCACGCACAAAATACACCCTCCTTAATACACACACCACATACCCCCCACATGCCTACCTACCACACACATACATATACTTCCCCCAAAACACACACATCACATACACTTCATACAATATACACACACCCCAAGCCCTCACATATCACACACACAATACACACCTTCTATCCCCCATAATACATACATTACATATCACACACATGCATGCATATCACACACAACCATACCATACATATATACAACATACATATCACACATATACAATACACACACACATATACACACACTATATACCACACACACATATGCATATATACTACACACACATCACATACCACTCACACACTCATACCCCCCCATATATACAATGTACATGCACAGCCCCACACCTCTACCACATACCACACAGGTACACACTACACACACACATCACATACACCTCACACCACACAGATTGTACACATCACACATACACTCCACACTGACCCCCTGACCACACTTCATACACAAACAGGACAAAAGACTCTGCATTTAAAGACTGGGGCAATAATGAATCGTGCAGACTTCAAGTTATGCCAGGAACATGTGTTACTTGAGTTTTCCTCATGCTGCTCAGTAGATAGAATCATCTTCCTGCTCTAATTCTAAGGTAGGAGAGGGAATTCTTATTTGTTAGTAGCAAGAGTCAGTGACTCATGGTTGGGGCTGGGGGTAATCAATTGATGGTGTGGAGAAAAAACAAAAATCTCCAATTAGCACAGAGATTTTCTTATATTGGGTTTGAATACATTTTAAACATTACCTTTTGAGAGCCCTAATTCCTAATTCTTTTTGTAGGACAGTCTGGCTCAAATTAGACACCATATGATGACAGAGACTATTTTTTTTTTTTTTTTTT